ACGCAATATTTATTAATAAAAAAATCAATTTTTATTAATTTTTTATATTAAAATGCTGTCCCGAAAGTCAAAAACAGCATTTATTATTAAAAATTAATTTTTAATAATTTTTTATTAATTTTTAATAACAAAATGCTGTCCTAAAAGTCAGACATAGCATTTATTATTAAAAAAATTAATGTTTAATAATAAAATACCACTCTGAAATCATACGTGGCATTTATTAATAAAAGAATTGATTTTTATTAATTTTTTATATTAAAATGTCACCCCAAAAGTCAGACATAGCATTTATTATTAAAAAATTTCATTTTTAATAATTTTTAATATTTAAATTCTGCCCTGAAAGTCAGACGTGGCATTTATTAATAAAAAAATTAATTTTTATTAATTTTTTATATAAAAATGCCACCCTGAAAGTTAGACATGGCATTTATTAATAATAAAATTATTTTTATTATTTTTTTATATCAAAATGCTGCCCCAAAAGACAAACGCAGTATTTATTAATAAAAAATTAATTATTTAATAATAAAATGCTAATCTGAATGTTAAAGGTGGATTTTTGTTAAAAAATAACAATTTTGTTGTTTTTTAACATTAAAACGCTGTTTCAAATGGCGGAAGCGGATTTTTGTTAAAAAATTTTTTGATCCGTCAGATACAGATACAGATTCAGATACAAATTCAGATTTGTCAAATTTGGATTTGTCAAATTCAAAATAAATCAGATTTTGCCCAAATTTGATCTGATCCAATTTGTGCAGAACACTATTTTTGATACAATATATTTTTATTAAACAACTAATAGCTATTTATATTAAATTTAATATATGGAAGGTTTGCTAGAAAAATGGGGTTTTGAGTATTTTTATTAAAATTTTAATTTTTATTGTATTTTTATATTTGATAATGTTAGATTTAAATGCAATAAAAATTAAAATTTTAATAAAAAATGCTTAGAATCCCATTTTTCTAGCAAACCTTCCATATGACAAGTTGATCTATAATTAACAACTAATTCTAATTTGCTAAAAAATTTTACATCTAAGATAGCTACTAAATTATCGATATCATAACTTGAAAATAAATTTAATAGAAAACTACACATATCTTTAGAAGTATATCATTGTTCTAATAAAGCCTAATATTTATATTTATCTCATGTAATTTAATTACACATCTAAAAGTAGCTTCATTATAACATATTTCTATTAATTTATTATTATTTAAATTTAAGTTTTCAAAATATTTATTACAAGTAGCAAGGATCTTATCATTTTTATTTGGATTTCCTTCAGCTTCAAGAATAACAACTTTAGGATATAGATATTGAAAACCAATATCAATTTGTTTAATAATTTTTGTATTAATAATATTACAATAATTACAATCAAAGATTTGTAAATATTCAATTGATTGATTATTTTGATTAAAACATAATAATTGTTCAAATATTGTTTCAAGTTTAATTAGCATTTTTTCAGCAAATTGACTTAAACCAAATAAATAAGTTTCTTTATTTAGATTAATTATGTTTTCATTAATTGAATTTAATGATATTGGTAATTCAAACTAAAATAATAATCTTAGAGTAACATATGAAATCATTCAATTAAAGTAGCGGGAGGGTATGTAAACCATTTTATTTTTACCTGGAAAACTGAGAAAGATAGTTATCAAAATAAGTATTCCAGATTCTTCCTGTTACTAAAATGAATACTTATTGATTTCACCATTTTAGAGTTCTCAAAATATAGTTTTACTATATTAATAAAATTTGTATTCTTAGAATGCACTCCAGCCTCTTTTACTTATTAAATTTGTTTTCTTACTTCTATATGTTTTTCTGTTTATTATTCTGACATAATAAAAAAATTATACCTAATAGAAAGTATATGCAGACTGAAGTAAATTGATCATAAACTTCAAAGAGTTAGGTAACAGATATTGAATCCTAGCTCTCTTTCTCACTCAGAATTGCTAATTTGTTTTCTTGCTTTTATATGCCTTTCTAATTATAATCTTGGTATAATAAAAATTTACACCTAGAAGAATATTCTTAGGTATGAAAAAAGTGGGATATAATTTTTTTTCGAAGAAGATTAGTCTATTAAGCCTCCCAATTGCATACCATAATGGTAACATTTGCTGAAAGAACAAGCATGAAGAAACACGTAATAACAATGAATGCATAGTTCAATGAGAGAAAAATATAAATTAGCTGAAATCCTTTAGGGCAGAAACTAATATATAATTTTTTGATCCTATGCTACCATATTTTAGTATATGCTAATGAATGAGGCATATCTAAAAGCAATTGTGAATGCAAATCACTTCCTAATAAATAGCCAAAGCTGTATCTTGAAGCCTATTAATATATTGGATCATATAATATTCACTAGCATGTCTTCTACAAAGATCAGGCTTAGAGCTAGTTGACTTATTATAAACCTTATAAGAAAGACGCTTCTTAGTCTTCCAATGTTCAAAACATCCTTCAGATGTAAAAAAAAATGGAATAGGTATAAAATTTCCTTAATATATCATATATAATTATGACAGAATAGTGCTAAGATAGTGATAGGATAGTTTTGGAAACATTTTCTAAATTGATCCAAAACTGATCCAGAATCATCTAGTAACCTTCTTTTAACCTTCTAGCATTTTCTAATAACTTAGCATCTTTTAGCATCCTATCTATTCTCTTCTAATATTTCATTTATTCTAACCTTATCCTGAAATTAATTAATATATTAGGTCACATAATACCCACTAGCATATTTTCTACAAAGACCAGATTTAGAGCTAGTCAGCTTATTACAAACTTTTTTCCTCATAAATTCGAAAAAAAACTTAATAAGCTTCTGCTGATTGATGGATCAAAGGAGAAATAATTAATTATTTTTTGAACAAAAATTTTCGTACTATTAATATAAATAATTGAATTGATTTACTTACTATTAAAAATGGTATTTCAATGTTTTAGATAAGAAAAGAATGACTTTAAAAAGACTTGTAATTTGAGAAATCATTTTAACAGAAAGTTTAAGTGTAAACAAACTCAAATACCTAATCCGATTTAGCTACCTAGTCCTAATATACCTAGATCTCAATTATCAGTACCAGCCTTCATCTCCTATAATTCATATTTGTAAAAATCATTTATTTATAGAGGATTTGGCCAACTGGCTAGTAAATCCTAAAATAAAAAACAACCCAAGTATTATTAGTAAAAAGGTTCCAAAAACAGATGCAGAATGGTTTGATCTAATGGAAAAATCGCCTAGTAAATTGCAAAAGAAAACCCAAGTTTCACAACTAGAAGAAGACTCTGAAGCTGGACTAGGCTCAACTATTTAAGTGTACAGAGAAGGACAAAGAAAAGACCAGAGAAAGGAAATCTTAACTCCTGAGATTATTGACCAAAATGATGATTTTGAAAATGATCCAAAGGATCTAGATAAAAAGTGCCTTGACCAGTTTTATTTTAAGATAATGAAAGGCATCGGGAAGTATGGCAAAAAGGAATTCAGATAGCAAAAGATATGTTTAAAGTAGATATGCTGAATATACATTTTCAATCTAGTTTGCAAAAGTTTCAAGTAAAGATTTAATAAATATATTATTAACAGCTAGAAGAAAAAAAAGTTGCAAAGAAAGCAAAAGAGATATATTTACAAAGGAGATTTCGTATTAATGATAAATACATAAAGAAAATAATATAGGAAGACATAGAGTCATTAATATAGGAATACAAGGCAGAAGACAAAGGAAGTTCTGGATAGTTAGTATCAATAGAACATAGTTTTGAAAGAAAGGAAATGTATGAAACTAGAATGACTAAAGAGCGTGCTAAAAAGATTTTAAATGCAATAGATAATGGTAAGTTTCTTATAAGAGTAAAATTTGTTAGAGACAATTTTTTCTATGATAGAAGATATAATTATGCATTTAAAATTATTGATAAATATCAGTCTATTCAAGAATTAAAGAGGGCTAATAAGAAATTTGTTTTAGAAGGTTCAAATGTAATCCTTACAAAGAAAATAAAATCAGACTTCTGGATAGGAATTAATAAGAAATTTTTAGTTAGGATCATTCAAGATGAAAAATTATCAGATTATATTGAACTTGATGCAAATGCAGTTATATATGAATTGTATCGAATCTGAGAATCAGATAGTAAATGATTAATGCCAATGAAAGATGATGCACTTAACTGTGTAGCTCAGTGAGTAATAGAGCATTTTGAAAAAGCAAAAAGAGGATATGGTTTAACTAGTATATGTAAGCAAAAAATTAGCACATGGGAAAAAAGAATGCGCCAACCTGGTACTCGAGTAGAGGATGTAACAGAATTGGAAAAAATACTTAAGAGGCTAATCAAATTGCTTGATATTACTTAAAGGTAGAGCTCCTAATGAGTCGAGTCGAGTCGAGTCGAGTCAAAAAAATTTAAAACTCTAACTCAACTCGACTTGAGTTATATTTAAATTTGACTCGACTCAACTCAAGTCAAATAAAAACCCCCAAAATATATTTGCTGATTATATAAATAATAAAATA